CCGCTGCTCGCGCTGCTGGCGCTCGGCGCGCTGCTCGCCCCGCTGCAGGTAAGACGGCCACCCGGGCCCGCTTTCCGCGTCACCCCGCTGTTAACCTTCGCCCGAAGCGGCCGCGAGCGCGCTCTTTCCGCGCACCCCCTTCTCCGCGCTTCAAGGAAGCACGAGAAGAGGGGCGCCTGGCCCCCCGCCTTCGGAGAAGGCCAGGTCTCGGGTGGGGACTGGAGGTGGGCCTTGGCGAGCGGAGGGGTGTTGGCAGCGGGAGGTTGGCGGAATCCTGACCCCGACGTGGGCGCTTCAGAAGGCACCTTTGCCCTCAGGCTTCGGTGATGCAGTTCTCCGGACATTTGAGCGCCAAGATGAGCGAGGGGGAGACATGAAAAGTCGCAGACAGTGCCCACATCGGTAGCCATTGCACCGCCACGTTCCTCTGCGGGTGGTCCCCTAACGACCGCTCCACGTCCCGGGGAGCACGCGGTCATTCCCTCGAACTTGGCCTGCACACCCTCTTACCTCCGTCTCCTCTTCGGAGACTAGAGCCGTTCGCTCCGCGCCGAGCCCTTGGCGCTACCGTGAAACCCAAGTTGGGGGTGTATTCAGAAAAGCCGACAGGCGTCTTTTCTCTGAGGTTTCCTTGCTCTGCCTCGCTCCCCTCCGGACTCCCCACACTGACAGCTTTCGGCCCCCAGTGCAGTAACCCGCGAATAACCACAGAATCACCTGTTCTCCGGAACCCTTCGGTGGTATTAGCACCAAGAGTTGTTTGCAGTTGGAGAAGCCAAGGTGCGCGATTTGGCTTCTAGCCGGGAGCAGAGCCAGGAACAGCCCATTTCTCCCTGAGCTCTGCCACCCACCGGCTCGGGCACATACGGGCTCCGCAGGGGCCTCACGCACTGCCCCTGGCCTGGTGGTCACCCAGAGCCAACTGCAGCCGCAGAGGAGGCAAGTCAGGTCTGGAGGGCTGACCCCTCTGCAGGGCAAATCTCTCACCGCACCCCCTCCCTGAAAGAAGCTTGATTCCCAACAGAGTGGTCGACTACCCTTGGTCCAGAGCCACACCTTGGAGCTTTTGGCTGATGAAAGGGCGTCCAAGATGAGTTCTAGGGGTGCTTGAAACTGAGTGGCCTCTCAGTGCTCCGTGTTGCCACCAAGTTCCTAGCAGAGTTCCTTACCAGTACAGTCGCCAAGTACCGTATGTTTGTGCTTAGCAAGTATGCTGCGCATTATGCAGCCTTTTGCAAATCATATAACCCGTCATGAACTTCTGTCCTTTTCTGTGCACTGTATGGTGTGCGTGTTATTTAAGTGGGCGCGTTGCAATAGGGTAGTACCTGTTTTCTCTCCTCCTGGAGGACAGCTTGTGATACAGCCAACCTGGCACAGTCAATACTATAAAAACCATTTACACTGGAAAGTTCCTCGAAGGGAAAGGTGAATGTTGGTGGGTTCCTTGCTTTCAGCAATTTCAGATTTACCTTCTTTGTTGAAACTGGCTTAGGCTCCATTCACTCTCCCTCCCCACAGCATGGCCCCTAACCCTGGGGAAACATGGGTGATGCACTTGGAGAAGCACTGTGTGGAGCTGGAAGACAGGAAGAAGCCAGTTCAGGATTACAGCCTTGGCAGAGTGCTGGCAATGTGCTGTAAACCAGAGCAGGAAACTGCAGTGAAAATGTACTTCATTCTAGCTCATCACTGCTTTTAGGAGTCTTTCAGAATGGTTGAAGGAAAAGAAGGAGAGAAGGACAAACGAATGGGATTTTTCATTTTAGACTAACTTGCGGTGTTGCTTAAAGTGCCCAACAGGTTGAACAAGGTGCCACCGCATTCGAACTAAAGGACTAGGGCTTTAGTGAACACCTAGCCACCTAGGAAGAACCTGCCTGACCGCATATAATGAGCCTTTTCCTTCATGCCACTAAAAAGTATTTCCCATTGCTGTTGCAGCAATGGCATACGTACCCACACACCCGCAAAAAAAAAAAAAAAAAAAAAAGCGTTCTGATCGAATATAACAGTAAATACTATCTCAGCGAGTTTATTTTCAGGAAGCTTTCAACAAGTGCTATTTCCCTTCCTTTTCTCTTAGCTCTGTCTTCCTTTTGTACATTTTTAATTGTACCTAAACAGGAAACTTCTGCACTGGTCAGTTTCAAAGGAGTGGTGTCCGGATGGTCTTCTACTTGTTTTAGTTTGCACCTGGCCTTCCCAGTGGAAGTCTGTTCACTCATACGGTGGAGCTTGGTGCGGTGTTGCAGTGTTATCTCCTAAACAGACTGCTTGTAGGTGCTCTGGGGGTTTGATCCCTGCTTCCTCTGGTTCACACATGGGGACTTGCATCGACAATCGTCTGGTGTCAGTAATGCCCACATGCTGGCTAAGGCTTGTGGAACTGCGTGTGGGCATTGCTGTTACAGAATAGGTGGCCAAAACAGCTTCTAGAAAGTATAGTATAACACGCGAAAGCCAGAACCTGTGTAAGGCAGATGCTTGCCAAAGAGGGGACACTCAAATACTTTCCACAAAGAGGAGGGATAGAAAAGTGCTAAGGCCACACCTTGCCAAAGGCAGAAAACTTGTAGAACCTGGAAGAACAAGGCAGTCCCATTGAATTCTGGCTCCAGGCCTCACTGTAGTTAGTTTCTTCTGCATTTTATTAAATAGATTCAAACTTTCCAGAAAAGCTGTGAGTTTTTCCTTTTAAAACATTTCTATGGTTATATACTCGGAAGGAAGGTTGGGCAATCCTACTTCCGTAGTGATACTGCCTCGGAAACCCAAGGAGGGGTCTCTATGAGTCGGGGCCGACTCGATGGCACATAACAACAACAACAACAACATGGTTATATATGTGCCTGCCTGTATTTGTGAGGGAATTTATTTTCAGACATAGCAAAGCGTTTGTCTACAGATGAAAACAGAGTTTTAGTGTCGATAGTCCTGTTGTTTATTCCAAGCAAGAAAATATGGAAACATACTGTTTTCATTAAGGAAACTGATTATAGACAACCACTTATTTCAGGCTTTTCTAAGACCTGAGGGCAGAGTTCCATTCCTAGGGCAGCAAACATTTATGGCTGGGGTTGGGTGCTGTGGAGTCCATTTTCAACCTGTAGCCACCCCATGGGGCAAAGTGGAACTGGCCCAGAGGGTTTTCTTGGCTGTAATCTTTATAGGAGCAGATCTCCAGGTCTTTGTCCTGCAGACCCACTGGGTGGGTTAGAACAGCCACCCTCTCAATTTGCAGCCAAGCACTTAACCATTGCACCACCAAGGCTCCTTTGTAAAAGGGTGCTAGTGGAGAAACAAAGAGGATGGAGGCACAAACTGTCTTCACAGAGGTCCCAGTCTGTGGGAAGCCAGAGACTGGTGAAGCTGTAATCATACAGATGTGGTGGTACAGTGGTTAAGGCATTTGGCTGCCAACCAAATGGTCAGTGATTTGAACCCACCAGCCACTCCACAGAAGAAAGATGAGGCAGTCAGCTTCCATAAACATTTACAGCCTTGGAAAGCCAGTGGGGGTTGCTTTGGGTTGGAACTGACTGGATGGCAGTGAGTTTGGTTTGAGTTTGTGATAAGAGAAGTGCTGAGGGTGGGGATGAGAAAGGGAGAGGTGTAGTTGAAGAAATCAGGAACCTTTGGAGGAAGGTGCTTCTAAAGTGGTCTTTGAAGGGTGGTAGGAAGAAGAGTGATTTCACAGGCAGAGAAGGAAGAAAGCTTTCTGGGTAAGAGGGCAGGGGGCAAGCAGCATATTTTTATGGCTTTTCAGAGAGTACAAAGCACTTCAAGAAACCAGCAGACACCTGGCAGTAAACTTTTATAGTTTTGAGATAACTCTTGTAAAGCTCTATTGAAGTGGAAAGGTAGACTAATCAGAAAGAGGCCTCTGGACCTGAGGGCCTTGGGGAGACCCCTGGAAGGAAATCCCCAAGGGTTCAGGGTGGGGCTGTAGGGCAGGTGCTGGGCCTCGCTTTCCTCCTACTGCCCCACCCCTTCCTAGAGGGAAGACCTAGCTGCATGCTGATTGGTGGGTGGGAAAGCCACAGACTTAGAACTTCCAGTTGATGTTGTTGATAACGAGTATCTCCAATGGCCCCCCTGTTATTTCCTTTCTACTACTACCCCAAAATGGCAAATCTGTCCACATCGCCTGTGTTGATAAGGAAAGAGCAGCTTGCTTTTTCAGTTATCTACCAGAAGTCCTTACCCCCCGGGAAGCTGAAACAATGAAGAGGTATCTCTGAAGGTCAGTTAATGGGTGTTTTATGAGGCCATGGGAAGGGAAGTTCCAGCCAGGTCTGGTCCGCAGGGAGTGTGGCTTTAGGGTGGAGATGTGTGCACGGCCATATGAAAATGTCCTCGTTGAAATGTCCTGTTCTGGGATGCTTGGGGGGAACAACGAGTGGTTTTCCCACACGTTGTATCTAACTAACCCCCTGCCATCAAGGCGACTCTGACTCCCAGCACCCCTGTAGCACACAGTACAGCTATTCCATAGGGTTTCCAAGGCTATACATCTTCACAGAAGCAGACTGCCACATCTTTCTGCCACCGAACATCTGGTGAGTTCCAACCACCAGCCTTTCAGTTAGCAGCTGAGTGCTTAACCTACTGCGCCACCTGGGCTCCTTGTGGTGTGTCTAGTGGTCTGTAAGAATGGTGCTCAGGCTGCTCCTCGGGTGATGGAGGTCACACCCCACAGTCTTCGGCTTCGTGGACTGTCAGCTCCCTGTACAGTCTTGACCTTGTCCATGAGGGAAGGCTACTGACTCAAACACACGGCCTTACTCCCCACCTCCAGGTGTCCGTCCCACACGGGCCTGTGGAGGATTCTGTCTGGCTGGTGGATTTTTTCCTCCAAGCACCTGTGTCTTCCTTTTCTCAGAGTTTTCCTGAAGTCGCACTGTGTGGCCTTTCTGTCATCTCCACTTTTAGAAACACAGTTGAAGTTCAACTCATCCTTTCTGACTCAAAGCTCTGAGACTGGAGAAACCACAAACATGACGGTGGACTTCAGCCTCCAGAAGCCTGGTCCTTCTAAAGTCCCTAGCAGTCTCTTGAGGTCTGATGCTGAGTGCGTGTTGAGCGAGGTTTTGCACAGCCTGTATCTTCTGTCCTGATTCTGAGAGATGCTCTCAGCCTGTTTCCTGCCAGAGCTCCCCCTCCCACTGGGCTTCCCCTTGTCTCCTGTCAGAGGACTGCTGTTCTCACGGCAGCGGCAGCCAATCACAAAGTGCTCTCTGATGAAGAAGCCAGAACAACGCTAGTCAGCAGTTTATAGCACACTCTTGAAGGCTGGCAGGTGATAACTGTCTATTTGTAGTTGTCTGTTGGCCTCCATGGAGGCCACACTTTCTGCCCTTGATCTCTGTGTGGACGTGCCCCATCCAGGACACAGCACTAAGTACTAAGAAATGAAACTGAGTGTGTGTTAAACGTATTCATTTACGTCCACGAATTGAACACCTGCTACTGGGGTCCATTCTGCAGCAGGCTGAGGACATAGATGGAGCACAGCCCGTCCCCAGGAGCCCACGGTCTAGACACATGCGGGCAGTTCAGCCACAGCAGGGTCCTCGTGTTCCTGGCAGCATTTTGTGTGGTGGGCGTGCAGGACAGAATGGTTTATTGTACCTGGAAAAATACCCCACTGTAACACACTACAAAAGAGGAACAGGTGAGGGGCAGCACTTGGACAAGGAAGGATGGTCCTTGTCTTGTTGGGGAGCAGCAAGGAAGCGGGGGGGCGTGGTCATTCGACCCCCCCCCCCCACTGGCTCACATAAAGATGCAGCTTAGGAAGCCCCTATGGAGCAGTTCTGCTCTGTCATGTGGGGTCACTATGAATCAGAATCAACTAGACAGCACCCCTAAAAAACAGGTATAAGAGAGAGGGAGGTGGAGCTGGCACTCAGGAACGGTATATGTAAGCAAAATGGTTTTGAGTTTTATCTTGATGCATTGCAGCTGGGAAAGAGTATTGGGGTGAGGCCAGGGGGCCAATGAAGAAGCCACTGCCTTGGATCAGGGAGGAGCCAGTGAAGGCTGGAATCAGGTTGAGGCAGTGACGAGAGATGGGAGAAGCCATGCAGGAGTGGCTTGGAGCCAGCAGGGTTGTTCCGGGTGCTGGAGATACAGCGACAAAGGATGCAGGCTGGTGGAAGAAACAAAAAGTCCGTGGGAGAGGTCAGGATAGATTAGCAGCTCACTGGCTCTCTTTTTCCCAGTTTACTAAGGGAATTCCTGCCTTAGTAAATCACAGTGTTGCTCAGGTTCATGTGAAGAAGGATTTTTTTTTTTTTTTTTTTCCCCAAGCAAACAAACAAAAAGGCAGGATGAAGCAGAGCTGTTGGGTGGCAGGTTCTTTGGGTTGTGCTGTGGGGAGGCACAGATGATGTTCCTTAGGCAGTGTAGAGGTAAAAGGCCCTGGGATGAGCGGGAAATCTGTGTACTCTGGAATTTAGAGAGTCATTTCCTGATGCCACAGCGGCTCTGAATCAGTTCAGGATACAGCCAGTGACCCGCAGGTGTGACCTGACCTGGGCTGGGGAAAAGTTACTAGAAATAAAATTGACTGGTGGTGTCGCACCTAAGGCGTCTGACTGCTAACCAGGAGGCTGGAGGTTCAAACCCACCAGCCACTCCTCGGAAGGAAGATTGGGCAATCAACTTCCGTAGAGAAACTGCCTCGGAAACCCAAGGAGGGGTCGCTATGAATTGAATCGACTTGATGGCAGTGAGTTTGGGTTTTTTTTTTTTCCTTCCTCATTTTCCCAACCCAGAAAACCTCTCCACAAAATAGAAGAAAAAAGTTTATTATTGAATAAGCTGTGTTTTAGTTATCAAGGGCTGCTGTAATACACCCATATAATCACAAATGGGTGATTTTAACAAACACATTTGTTTTCTGTCCAAATTTAGAGTGCTGGCTCTAAGGGGTGGCTTGCTTTCTCTTTTGGCTCTGGAGGAAGGTCATTGTATCTTTTGACTTCTGCTCCTGGGCAGTCTTCATGTGGCTTGTATTTCTCTTTCTCCATCTCTTCTTCTCTCGCTTTCTTGTTAAATCTCTTATATCTCAAAAGAGATTGACCCAAAATACACACTATCACACTAATCTCATGAATTGATTTGATGCATAGAACACTAATAAACAAAAACAGGTAAGTTGTGGGATGACATCAAGGACATCATACATGAAGAAATCAAAAAGATCATTAAAAAGATGGGAAAGAAAGAAAAGACCAAAATGGATGTTAGAGGAGACTCTAAAATTTCCTCTTGAATACTACTGAGTAGCTGAAGAGAATGGACCACCACTTGTCTGCCAGTTGCTGGATTATGGTGGCTTATGAGTTTGGTGATGCTGGAAGCTCTGCCGCTGGTATTTCAAATACCACAGGCTCAACCATGGTGGACAGGTTTCCGCAAAGCCTCCAGACTAAGACTGGGAAGACGGACAGGCCATCCGCCTCTGAAAGCGTTGGCAACTGAAAACCTTAGGAAGAGCAGTGAAATGTTGTCTGACAGAGTGTCAGGAGATGAGCCCCTCAGGTTGGAAGGCACTCAGAATACAGCTGGAGAAGAGCTGCCTCCTCAAAGTGGAATCAAGCTTAATGACAAGGATGAAGTAAAGCTTTCAGGACCTTCATTTGCTGAACGAAGGGCACCACTCAAAATGAGAATAGACAGCTGCAAACATTCATTAGTAATTGTAACATGGAATGTACAAAGCATGAATCTAGGAAAATTAAAAGTTATCAAAGAAAATTAAGACAACTATATAAGACCTTGATTTTATCCGACCTGAATTTAGATACCATCTGAAGAATAGATGTGACACATTTGAACACAAATGACTGAAGACCTGACAAGTTATGGGATGACATCAAGAACATCATACGTGAAGAAAGCAAAGGTCTTTAAAAAGACAGGAAAGAAAGAAAAGACCAAAATGGATATCAGAAGAGACTCTGAAAAGGGACCAGTCCCTGGAGGAGGATATCATGTTTGGTAAAGTAGACGGTTATTGAAAGAGGGGAAGACCTTCGACGAGGTGGATTGACACGGAGGCTGCAGCGATGGGCTCAAGCATAGCAAGGAGTGTGAGGCTGGTGCAGTCCAGGCAGTGTTTTGTTCTATTGGACATACGTTGCTGTGAGTTGGAGCCTACTCAACAGCACCTAACAACAACAAAGCAAATGATGCAAAAAAGCTGAACAGATAAAATGTGCAAAGACCTGGAGATAGAAAACCAAAAGGGAAGAGAAGTCGGCATTTCTCAAGCTGAAAGAACAGAGGAAAAGCTTTAAGCCTCAAGTTACAATATTGAAGCATTCTGTAGGCAAAATGTTGAATGATGAAGGAGGCATCAAAAGAAGATGGAAGAAATACACAGACTTACTGTACCAAAGATGATTGGTCAACATTCAACCATTTCACTTGGAAGCATATGATCAAGGACTGATGGTATTGGAGGAAGAAGTCCAAGCTGCACTGAAGGCACTGGTGAAAAACAAGGCTCCAGGAATTGGTGGGACACCAATTGAGATGTTTCAGCAAATGGATCAGTGCTGGAAGTGGTCACTAATCTATGCCAAGAAATTTGGGAGACAACTACCTGGCCAGTGACCAGAAGAGGACCATATCTGTGCCCATTCCAAAGGAAGATGTTCCAGCAGAATGTGGAAATTATTATCGTTAATATCACATATAAGTAAAATTTTGCTGAAGATAATTTAAAAACTGCTGTAGCAATACATTGACAGCGAGCTGCCAGAAATTCAAGCCAGATTCAGTAGAGGACATGGAATGAGGGTTATCATTGCTGTTGTCAGATGGCTCTTAGCTGAAAGCAGAGAATACCAGAAATATGTTTAACTGTATTTTTTGACTATGCAAAGGCATTCAGCTATGTGGATCATGATGAATTATGGATAACATTATGAAGAAAGGGAATTCCAGAACACTTAATTGTGCTTGTGCGGAACCTGTATGTAGACAAAGAGGCAGTTGTTCCAGCAGAACAAGGAGATACTGCATGGTTTAAAGTAAAAAAGGTGTGTGTCAGGGTTATATCCTTTCACCATACTTATTCAGTGTGTATGCTGAGTAAATGTAAGAAGCTGGACTGTGTGCAGAAGATTGTGGCATCAGGATTGAAAGAAGACTCATTAACAATCTACAGTATGCAGGTGACACAACCTTGCTTGCTGAAAGCGAAGGGGACTTGAAGCATTTACTGATGAAGATCAAAGACTACAGCCTTCAGTATGGATTACACTTCAACATAAAGAAAACAAAAATCCTCACTACTGGATCAGTGAACAACATCATGATAAATGGATAAAATATTGAAGTTGTCAAGAATTTCATTTTACTTGAATCTACAATCAGCACCCGTGAAAACAGTTAAGAAATGAAATGACATATTGCGTTGGGCAAATCTGCTACAAAAGACTTCTTTAAAGTCTTAAAAAGCAAAGATATCACTTTGAGGACTAAGGTGTGCCTGACCCAAGCCATGGTATTTTCAATTGCCTTGTGCATGCAAAAGCTGGACAATGACTAAGGAAGACTGAAGAAGAATGGATGCCTTAGTGTTATGGTGTTGGCAAAGAACATTGACTATACCCTGGACTGCCAGAAGAATGAACAAATCTGTCTTGGAAGAAGTATAACCAGAATGTTCCTTAGAAGCAAGAATGGTGAGACTTTGTTGTAGGAACTTTGGTCATGTTATCAGGAAAGACCAGTCACTTGAAGAAGGACTGCTTGGTAGAGAGGAAGACCCTCATTGGGATGGATTGACACTGTGGCTGCAACAATGGGCTCAAATACAGCAATGATTGTGAGAATGATGCAGAACCACATAATGTTTCATTCTGTTGTTGCAGTCGGAACCAACTGTAGGGCACCTAACAACTACAGCAGCATACCTGGCACTAATCCTCCCTCATGAATATAGCAAAGGCAGCCCATTCCCAAATGGGATTATAACCACAGGCATAGAGGTTAGGATTTGCAGCACATATTTTATTATTTTTATTTTTTTAATTGTGATTTGAGTGAAAGTTTACAGAGCAAATTCACT